TGGCAGGTGTGTGTTATGTAGCCCTGGTATAGTGTGTTGTGTGGCTCTCAGATGGTGTGTGTTATGTAGCCTCCTGGCATAGTGTGTGTTGGTCCCTGACATGTGTGTGTTATGTGTGCCTGGCATGTACGTGTTATGTAGCCCCCTGTATATGTGTGTGTGTAGCCCCTGGCATGTGTGTGTGTTGGTGTGTGGCCCCTGGCATAGTGTGTGTTATGTAGCCCCATAGTGTGTGTGTTATGTAGGCATAGTGTGTTATGTAGCCCCTGCTATAGTGTGTGTTGGTGTAGCCCCTGGCATAAAATGTGTAGCCCCTGGTATGTGTGTTATGTAGCCCCTGGTATAGTGTGTGTTATGTAGCATAGTGTGTTATGTAGCCCCCTGTTATGTAGCCCCCTGGCATGTGTGTGTTATGTAGCCCCCTGGCATGTGTGTGTTATGTAGCCCCCTGGCATGTGTGTGTTATGTAGCCCCCTGGTATAGTGTGTGTTATGTAGCCCCTGGCATAGTGTGTGTTATTTAGCCCCCTGGCATAGTGTGTGTTATGTAGCCCCCTGGCATAGTGTGTGTTATGTAGCTCCCTGGCATAGTGTGTTATGTAGGCCCATATAACATCTGTCCCCCAGAGTTATATATAGCCCCTGTCATATGTTACATAGCCCCTGTCATGTGTTATATAGCCCATGTCATGTGCTACATACTGTAGCCCCTGACATGTGTTATATAGCCCATGTCATGTCAGTTATATAACTCTGATAAGTCTGTCATATGACGTAGCCACTTGCAAGACGCGTCCCTATAATTAGCTTAACTCGCTAAACTCACAATCTTAATAAAACTTGTTTTTTTTACTTGGTTTAAGAGTTGTGGTGTCAAATGTCTTCTTGTTTTAGTTTTAGGGTTTCATAATAATAATAGAAATAATAATATTAATCTCTATCAATAATAATACAGGTAGTGGGTGTCCTTTATACAGCAACACAGGTAGTGGGTGTCCCTTATACAACAACACAGGTAGTGGGTGTCCCTTATACAACAACACAGGTAGTGGGTGTCCCTTATACAACAACACAGGTAGTGGGTGTCCCTTATACAGCAACACAGGTAGTGGGTGTCCCTTATACAGCAACACAGGTAGTGGGTGCCGGCGTCATTATCCACCTACAATACAACCAGATCTTACGAGCGGATCATTTAACAATACACTCGTCTAACACACACACACACACACACACATTGTCTCCGTAACACTCCAGTACACAACGTAACGTTTTGGCGTCACCAGGCGTAAAGTACATCTCTTCCGCCCCTGATCTCCTACCTTAAGAACTGCGCATTTTTTTAGAACCTGCGCAGTAACGAAAATCTTCAAACAAATTGGTGAAAAATGCGCCAAGATTCATAATTAAGAAATATATCAGAAAGATTATACTAAGACATATTAGATAAAATGGTATAAGAATATATTGGATATTTTAGACACAGAACTAAAATTTGGCTAGTCACGACATCAACACACTGTCAACCATCCTAACCTAACCACAACATCAGTCATTCACCTACATTAATTCTTTGTTGACATGGCTACAGTGGGTCGTGTGTGTATGTCTGTAGAGAGTTATATACTTCATGATGTATACAGGAGAACGACGCAGAATGTTTGTGTTTTGAAAATTGATTGGATATAATGAGGTTATTTCATCACTATCATCATTCTCATTATCATCATCATCGTTATCATCATCATCATCATTACTAATATCATGACCATCACCACCATCACTACACAACACATATTTCTCCCCAGTCATGGTACCTTCACAATAACTTATAAACCACAACGACCTAATCCTCGGGGCATCCACGAAAGAGAGAGAGAAAGAGAGAGAGAGAGAGAGAGAGAGAGAGAGAGAGAGAGAGAAAGAGAGAGAGAGAGAGAGAGAGAGAGAGAGAAAGAGAGAGAATACCCTCCCAGTTACCCCCTATATCCCACACCCCTTCAAGACGATGCATACACACACACACCATGACGAAGCAGCCCCCTGTCTCCACGTCTCGCCAAGGAAGTATGTCAATATCCTTAGGGCTGTGTATTTTTTTTAAAGCATCTGAAGAGGAGAGAGGATTAAACTATATTGTCCACTATTGGGTTAAAACATCGTCCTCATATGGTTAAATAATTGTATTCTTATCTTATGAGAATCTATGTATAATTTTGACGGGATAATATTTCGGACGTTCTTTTTAAATAAATTATTTCGATGCTTAATTATTTTTGTTATATTTTTTTTTACAATAAATATTTATCGTATGAATTTCTGAGAATATGAACGCTGGGCGGGATTCTGTTTTGTTTACTAATCCCAAGCGACCATGTTTATTCTCTCCAAAACGATCGCTTACACACCGAGTTGAAGTTTATTTCTTTATAATTCCCACACGATAGTCCACCTACCTTAAATATAACGTCAGAGCTGGTCAATATAAGGCACGGAAATCAGATATTATAAGTACTAAGTGTTAGTCCCTGCCGTCCATATTTTTCACCCTAGACTCGCCCAGTGTGTCCCAGTAAACACACTTTTCCCCATAGACAATTTTTTTTAACATGTATCTCGCGTCTTGATTCTATTGTGCTTCCTAAAGTAAAAACAAAAGAGCAGAGGTAATAAATGTCAACAACGGATCAGAGCACAAAAGAACGACTGACGTCACACCATCCACAGCCGAAATAAACGCGGTGCTTTGATCAGAAAATAACGTTACAAAAACAATCTCTATATTTATCAACACAGACACATTAAACTCTCATATATTCCTCTTAATACGCCTATTCTAGCCGTGTGCGTGTGTGTGTGTGTGTGTGTGTGTGTGTGTGTGTGTGTGTGTTACCACAAACCCACACGTTAATTTATATTTGAAAAAAGTTGATAATCTAGTTTGTTTTAAATAAATTCCTCTAAACAATAAACAATAGAACTTCTCGATTCATGGCCACAAATGATGCGTGTGATTAGATGTTCAGATGGGTGGGAGGGAATGGGTGGCAGGGGATGGGTGGCAGAGGAACGGGTGGTAAAGGAACAGATGGCAAAGGAACAGGTGACAGGGGATGGGTGGTAAAGGAATGGGTGGCAGAGAAACAGGTGGGTGGCAGGGGACGGGTGGCAGGCAATGGCTGGCAATTGTGAGGAAACCTTAACACAATAGGATCTTACACAAGGACTCTCTGTGGTCACCAGTGTACACGTGTCAAATGAAAAGTGTGTGTGTGTGTGTGTGTGTGTGTGTGTGTGTGTGAGTTCAGTCGCCTCTATAATGGCGTTTGTCATTGTGCAAATGTTGGCGCCTGGGGGGGGGGTTCTGCTTCCTCCTCACCCCCTCCCCTCCTATACCTTTATCCAGAGACCATCTTAGTACAGCGACCATCTTATTACAGCAATATACTAATAACCTCACACATGACAAGTTAACACACTGACATACTAATACACATACACATACTAACAAACTAATATAGACACAGACAAACAGACTCAAGGCAACATGTATAATGACACCTCTTAACATAACACTGTACCTCTAGAAGTACAGGAACTAAGAACGATACAAGGAAGTGAGAGGACCATTAACATTCATACAAGGAAGTGAGAGGACCATTAACATTTTGTCCTGTCCTCCTAGTTCCTTGTACACAGGAACTAGGGATGTGGGCACAAGGAAGTGTCTGACGGGATGGAATGTCACCCTCGTCCCCCCCCCCACCACCACCCACCATACCTTGTGTTTTGTACCTGTCCTTGTAGTTCCAGCAAAAACAACAATATTTTTTTAGGTAGGTAATTTCCCGGTGGTTTACTATGTGTTGGTGTGTCTGTCCCGTGTGTTTAGTGGTCAATGGTACCTCAAGGTCGCCCACCTCTGTGTGTGTGTGTTTGACTGAGTAGGTATTTAATGCACAACAACTCTGGTTTACCTTAATACTCAACTTTCTCTCACCCGTTCATGACACACACACACACACACACACACACACACACACACACACACTCGGGCCTGGGGCGGAGAAGGATAAGGAAGATGACGAAAACTACTGTGAGGCGAGGTGAGACGAGGAGAGACAAGGGGAAGTGAGGCGAAAAAAGGCATAATGAACTGGTTGGTATTGACAGAGTACAGAATTAATGACCGATACTTAATTACACCAGGTACAGTTGAAACACTGTAAAACCACTGTAAGACCTAAATATATCTATGTTATTCTACTTAATATGTATCCTTTTCTGCAACACATATATGTATAATGTTCTATGATACATGTACGTATAATGGTGTAGTATGTTTGTGATACCTGGATGCATTGTGTCATTGAGTATGCAGTGTCCGCCCCCCGCAATCAAAGAACATTATACCTTTCACCTGTCATGCAAGACATATTAGCGCAGCACGGCATTTAGGACAGGTGAGCTGCAGAATAATTAACGACAAGGTCATCAGGGACACATACAGTAGCTTCCTAGGTAATTTACTTCTTGTCAGTTTCCAGGATAATTAATTAGTATGAAAGATAACCAGGTAATTTCTAAGGCATTTGTAAGTAATTAGTTCAAGGTAATTGAGGTAATCTCAATAACAGTCTAACATAACATAACACTCAAACAAAACTACAAAAACAAGAGTCGTATGTAGATATGAGAGAGAGAGAGAGAGAGAGAGAGAGAGAGAGAGAGAGAGAGAGAGAGAGAGAGAGAGAGAGGTGTGTGTGGGAGTCTGGTAATTGTGTCATGCCCCTCCACTTACATACCCCGGTTCTGTTCAGTCACTCTCAGCCCATCACCACTACTCCTCCAGGTCGATGGTGAATTACAGGTTACAGCAGTAGTGACGTCTTGTAATATCGACCCACCTCACCTGTCCACCTTACCTGTCCACCACACCTGTCCACCTCACCCTCGGTAAATAAAGGGACCTCATTAAGTCACCTGCAGCAGAAGACTCACCAGCAGTAGCAGGAGTGAGCAGGTAGAGGAAGACCGTCGTCAGCAGATGCCGCCAGCAGACTCGACTAGGTCTGAGTGTACACATCCTAGTGGTAGTTCCTCCTGTAGTGAAGATGAGAGAGAGAGAGAGGTCAGTGTAGCAACAGGGAGCGGACACACACACACACACACACCAGACGAGATATTATTCCTCAAAACGAGTCTCAGTTCCCCTACACACCACCAGGGGGAATCTACAGGTTAATTAGCTTTATATATACGTATAAATTCTTCCATATATACAAGCCTTTTTACTTCTATGGTACAATATAGCAGGGCATTTACTAGTTCTTGTACAATATAGCAGGACATTTACTAGTTCTCTTAGTTCCTAGCAGCCAATAGCTAGTAAGTCATCCCACGGTTCCACCCCCCTTTGACAGGATGCAATTCCGCTCAAGGCTTATCCCAACCATCGGAATGTACAGCAAACTATTTTACCCGATGGCTGAACAAGGACGAGTTTATTATTATTGTTATCGTCGTGGCTGAGTCTGTTGGGAGGTGGAGGTTTCATATAAAGACACCTGGTGAATATAACCAGATAAAAACATTAAATTATCACTAAAGAATATTGGATACACACAAGGTAACACCACAAAAAAACCTGATTCTCATTTGTTTTTATCTGTTTTTATGTCATGGTGAAACTTTAACACCGTCCCTATGTTTCCTCGTTCAAGTCAAGATAACAAGCAGCATATATTTATTTGTGGCAGGAGAACTAGGAGTCGTTAAAAAAGGGGGGGAAGTGTCGAGGGGGGGAGAGGGGGGGGAGGTAGAGCAGGCCAAGTACAACCCCACCTAAATCCACTGCTGACAATAAAGATTCTCAAAGACATTTCCGTAATACTTTTCCGCATAAATTAGGATGAGTGAACGTATCTTGTCTTGTTATATTCAGCTTCTGTATGTTACCACAGTTTATGATGCCAGAGAGACGAAAGACGAGGTACGAGAGACGAGGAACGAAAGACGAGGAACGAGAGACGAGGTACGAGAGACGAGGAACGAGAGACGAGGCACGAGAGACGAGGAACGAGAGACGAGGAACGAGAGACGAGGAACGAGAGACGAGGAACAATAGACGAGGAACAATAGACGTATTCTGACATCAACCTCAACAAGAAAAAGAACCATCGTATGAACCTTGAAGACCTTGGGGGTAACTCTTATATAGTGGCAAATAATCCTAAGATATTTTAACATCAAGGACAGTCCCTCAGCCAACACCTGTCTATAGTACCTCATGTGGTTGGATTTAGGTGTGGTGGTACTGATGTTGGTCAAATGGGCCCCAGTCTTTATAAACTGGGGCCCATTAAGACTAGTTCACAATAAGGGATAGATTAAGAATGTACCCCGGGCGGTGTTGTAACCAATGGCTCGCTGCCTCTACTTCGTGTTGACATCCTGCAGTAAATTCTACAGGTGACCTCATCGCCAGAAGCAAGATCGATGGTGAAGGAATGAACATAAATCAGGCAATCACCACATTTACCTCATCAATAACACCGCAAATCAGAACATTATATTAGACACCATACATCACATATTTTCACACCAGAGTCAATAACATACCTAAAATTATAGCAGAAACCCTGAAAAAAATATATAATTATTTCTCCCATGTGACGGTCAGTGGTCGATGTGAATAATTTGACCGCAAAAAATAGTTTTAATTTATTAACTTGAAATTCTGATGCAATAATACACTGTTGTACTGGTATGCTATGGCTCCCCTCTCTAAGCTTGGGTCCTATCCTATACCCCCGTCTCTAAGCTTGGGTCCTATCATATTCCCCCATCTCTAAGCTTGGGTCTTATCCTATAACCCCTCTCGAAGCTTGGGTCCTATCCTATACCCCCGTCTCTAAGCTTGGGTCCTATCCAATACCCCCGTCTCTAAGCTTGGGTTCTATCCTATTGTCTCTAGGTTCTATCCTATACCCCTCTAAGCTTGGGTTCTATCCTATACCCCCTCTCTAAGCTTGGGTCCTATCCTATACCCCCGTCTCTAAGCTTGGACCCCCATTCTATCATCCCCCCCTCCTCTTGACCCGGCTTGACCTTAATCCTATGGTTGAATTGGGAATGATTACGTACCCTAACTTTGACTATCGCATCTTTGGTACACTGACTTGTAAAGAACTTGATACTCTTGAGTACAAATACTTACTTAACCTCGAGTACAGTAATAATTCCTTTGAGTACTATAGACCCGAGTACAATAACAACCCCTTGACCCATCAGAATCACCTTCAAGTATGATACATGAAGATATATAATGTTTACTGATTGTCTACCAGGAAATAACTGGTTCTGGTCATGTATCACGTGCGTAACTTAGTCTCATATAATAATACGTGTCATATATCTACTTTATATAGCGTGATGTACTATAGTGGTACAATATATCAACTATGTGATATTTATAGGTTGAAGACACGACACTGTTCTATATCTGTCACTCTGTTTATATCTGTCTGTGCCTCTCTGTCTGTACCCGCTCACAATGTGCAGATAATAATAGTCCAGAATACACAGCTGTCCTGAAATATGATACAGCGAGGAGTTATTTTTTTTCTCCCTCTTTGCGGGGAGGGGAGGGTGGAGGTGGGGGGGATCACATGAAGATTAGTCACCCATGTTTATTTTTTACCTGATGATTAAACACCTTAAAGCTAATTAGGGAGGTATGGTTAGGTTAGGTTAGGTTAGATTAGTGTGTTTAATCATCTAGCTGGTTAAGAAAAGATATGACGTCAGTACAAAGGTGTTTTTCTACCTGTGACGTTAGATGACATCATTAGCTAGACTGAGTAACATACACCAGCCAGGTAATTGCTTACCTTACCTGCGGAAAGTACTTTGTGTGTGTGTGTGTGAGAGAGAGAGAGAGAGAGAGAGAGAGAGAGAGAGAGAGAGAGAGAGGCTCTAATAAGTACCAATTATGACTTTATAACGGGAATGAGCCCCGTCTCGTCTGAACATCCAACAGGCAAGGGCGAGGGAAGGAGTGTGTGTGTATAATGTCTTTAATAATACACCAACTATCCTTCACCTCAAACAAGATAACCTTATCTTTCTTTTATTCTTTCATTTCTATTTATCTCGTCTTCTCTGGTTATTCTCATTTATCCTTATTTACATTACAAATCCCTTTAGTTACGTCTTATCTCATCATCTTACTTGTTTACATTTTTCCTTCATTTATCTATATTCTTCTTTATCATCTTCACTATGTATTATCAACGTTCTTTCATTTTCCTTTAAATTTATTCAGTTTACTCGTAGTTTCTTAATGAGTCATCTTTCTCACCCCCAGACGATGTTATGCCAGTATCCACGAACACGACTATGTCATGAGTACCGCCCTGACATCAGAGGTAGCCACCCAGATGACGCATTCTGGGGACTTCCCTGACGTCATGGGGCTGTTGTGGTCTGGTAGGAGCTGGTCTTAACCCCGTATTACAGTAACCTTGGTTAGGTTAATCTTACTACTTAAGAGTGGCATTCAACCCGAGAGAGAGAGAGAGAGAGAGAGAGAGAGAGAGAGAGAGAGAGAGAGAGAGAGTACGTACCAACACTTTGCGTTCCCCTTAATTTATTCATTGAAAATTGACGGAGTCACGCGAGGGTTGTGTAAAGGAGGAGGAGGAGCCAGCATAGGGAGGAGAAGGAAGGGTAATAAGAGGAGGAGGAGGAGCCAGAGAGAAGAGGCTAACACCTCCCCGTAACAACCCTAAAATGGCGAGTTGATATGCAAATAAGATGAAGATTATTACACCACAAAAGGCGACTCAGCAACACCTACACACACACACACGAACTAATCTGTCCAAGGTCATCTGGAAACGACAGGTAATCCCTCAGCAACACCTACCTCCCCGTCACACACACACACGAACTACTCTGTCCAAGGTCATCAGGAAACGACAGGTAATCCCAGGTAAGCCCCCTCATCTTTAACCTTGCATTACCTTACCTACTAAATCAACCACTGTCCATGAATCCCAATACCCTTTTTTTATGTCTTAGTGAAGATGGAATTAAATTACTATTTTTTTTAATAATGTAATTTGTATTGACGTCATAGATCCATTGACGTCATAGATCCATTGACGTCATAGTTCCATTGACGTCATAGATCCATTGACGTCATAGATCCATTGACGTCATAGATCCATTGACGTCATAGATCCATTGACGTCATAGATCCATTGACGTCATAGATCCATTGACGTCATAGATCCATTGACGTCATAGATCCATTGACGTCATAGATCCATTGACGTCATAGATCCATTGACATCATAGATCCATTGACGTCATAGATCCATTGACGTCATAGATCCATTGACGTCATAGTTCCTACAGCTTCACGAAAGATGCCATCATACCTTTACCTGGGCGCTGAGCCAAGGACTATACACTCCACCTGTCTTTTAATATATGCAAAAAAACTTACAACAACAGGTAACCTTTGATTAAAACTTTGGCTAGGAGAGATATACAGGTACAGTTGTGAATATAATTCCCTGGACACTTGGCAGGTTAGATTAAGTTAGGGTAGATTAGAGTTAAGTTAGATAAAAAGCTATGGGATATTAGATGTATGAGAAATTAATATTACAACGTGTGGTTCAGACAAAATAAAACAGCATTAGACATAAAACAAACAAACAAACACACACACACACACACACACACACACACACACCAAGTAGATGCCAGATATTGCTAAAACACCCAGTGAATCTTGTCCGTAGCTGTACTTGCATTTATACGCCACAGAACTAATTACTCAACTCCTACCATTATCATAATCCTTCCTTTAAACTCCTACAGGATGCTGAATAATATATCTAACCTTATGTGTGTTTATTTATTGAGGTGAGAACTGGAGGCTCGCTCACTGGGCAATTCTCAGCGCCAAGATGTAAAAAAGACAGAACACGTTTACTGCCAGAGGAGATTTTATTGTTGTTGTGTTTTACTGAGTGAGGTGTAAATTAGCTGATGATGATGATGATGATGATGATGGTGATGATGGTGAT